TTATCCCAACCACAGAACTATCAGTCACGAACTAAAAATAACTACGCTCTGCTACCATTTGTAACGGGTCAGAATTACTGGACTTTAATTTCTCCCTTGATTTGGGGTTTATTAAAGATTATTAGATGGTACTTGCAGTGGAAGTGCCCCTTTGAGAGAATTCCCGAACCAGCTCAAGAACACTTAAATTTACTAAACAAAATGAATTGTCCGTGAACCGTGGAAGAATAGTGTCTGTGACTGGGATGAATGAGACACACTGTAAAATTTACACTTATATTCCCTCCAACACTACAAACACAATCAAATAATGGTACACCAAAATGGGCACCTCTTAACCTGAACTTAAAATACTACTCTGGGGAATAAAAGTTATACATGATGTTGAAATTATTAGAACCTCAGGCAATGCCTCATTAGAGGACAATAAGTTTATAGTATTAAGAAATGTTGCTTACACTCTACAATGAATAGGCCCTAAGGGCACTCAACAAAATGATATCCAGCACTGACAAAATGGTATAAAAAATAGAACTTATTAACTCCACCCTGAGTAGGCCTTCAGGGCACTCAGCAAAATTATATTACCCCAACAGATACACACCTCCTAACCTAACTTAAACACTACTCTGGGGAACAAGGGTTATACCTGAGATTGAAATTATAAGGAAATATTAAATGCACACAGCATACATTAGTAACTGAAAAAATAGTATTAAGTACACACAAAAATTATCATCACTATTATTAAGAAGTTACTGAGTCCACCAATACCCGTGAACCATGCTTCCTAGCCTAACACATAGATTCCACTTGCACTCCGTAGTTATTTAAGGCACCCGTAGTTTTAGGCCCAAAGCAGCCTTTCTCAACCTTGAAAATGTACCTCGAAGTTCCACTCGACTCTTGGTCCCAGTGTGTGACCCTGTATCACTCAGCTGGCTTCACTTTACCCCCAGTACATCCATGAAACGGAAGGGAGTGAGCCACTCAGACCTTGTACAGTTGAGAGAAGCTTTAGCTTCCCGTTAGTAAAAGGTTTTCACTAAGCTGCTTGAAGATATGTGGTATTGTGAGCCGAGGTAGAGGAGAGTTGATGACCCCAAACGATCGTCACGTCGTTAGTTTTTCACCTAGACAGTTGGGTTCACTCCAACTCTCACCATACTCAACAGGTGGCTCAAACCCAGGTCAGTGGACGGTCATACAGCTCGCTTCACCACTCTCATACCGCCAGTGGATGTTATCATACCGCGTGGGGTCTACAGAACCCTGAAAAACCTGGGCTGTTAGCTATTGTCTCACATCACCGTTTGTTCGTACCGCCCTATGTAGCTTTGTCTGAGATTGAATAAAACTTTCTTGTTAATACTGATGTTAAATAAACGAAGGAACCAGGTCACGCGATCCGTCTCTCCTGGGTACAGCACAGAGGTGGTCCTTGACCTCTCTCACAGCTGCCCAGCCACGCTCGCTCCCTGGTTCACGCTTTCCAGGAGTGACTTATTTACCAGATGATTAACAGCTTAATTAGGACGTAAGCAACATTTTCAGACTGGGAAACGATCTATAATTATTTTCAATTTAATAACCGATATTTATTTTCATGATTCACGTCCCTATTAACTCGGTAAATTACATTTAATTTCATATAGGCCTAGTTCCACAACTCTCGCTACGTGCGAGAGCGCGGTCTTCCCTCAGACGGCCTTGAACTCAGTCTCTCCAATGGCGCGGCATTTGAAATTACACTGTTTTCTGAATATTACATATATATATATATATATATATATATATATATATATATATATATATATATATATATGCAAATGGGCTCACTGGCCTTGAGTCGCGTGCAGTCAGGCCATGTGCGTGGCCACAAGAGAAGAAACCTGAAGTTCCCAAGCTCTTTCATAATTCACATCTTCGGGGTTTGGATGCACTTGGGAGGACTTCATTTATATATATATATATATATATATATATATATATATATATATATATATATATATATATATATATATATATATATATATATATATATATATATATATATATATATATATATATATATATATATATATATATAATCAACACCTCAACCCGCCAGGATTCAAACCCACGGCCCACGAGCCCATAACTGACCGGGGAACGCTAACCGCTGGACCACCAGTATACACATAGCAGTCCTAGACTTTGTTATATTTCACACAAAGCTTGTTCAGCGAGCTTAAGGCGCCGTGAACCTCTAATGGGGACTACCCGTATCACGTAGGTGGTCAGAGTAACGTTTTAACAAATCCGGCTTCGAAACACGAGGATCCATATATATTTAATTAGCTCAATAAAGCACGCGGACTTCTACATAGAATCAACACCTCAACCCGACAGGATTCAAACCCACGGCCCACGAGCCCATAACTGACCGGGGAACGCTAACCGCTGGACCACCAGTATACAAATAGCAGTCCTAGACTGTGTTATATTTCACACAAAGCTTGTTCAGCGAGCTTAAGGCGCCGTGAACCTCTAATGGGGACTACCCGTATCACGTAGGTGGTCAGAGTAACGTTTTAACAAATCCGGCTTCGAAACACGAGGATCCATATATATTTAATTAGCCCAATAAAGCACGCGGACTTCTACATACAATCAACACCTCAACCCGCCAGTATTCGAACCCACGGCCCACGAGCCCATGACTGTGACCGGGGAACGCTAACCGCTGGACCACCAGGATACAAAAAGCGTTCCCCGGTCATAGTCATGGGTTCGTGGGCCGTGGGTTCGAATCCTGTCGGGTTGAGGTGTTGATTCTATGTAGAAGTCCGCGTGCTTTGTTGAGCTAATGAAATATATATATATATATATATATATATATATATATATATATATATATATATATATATATATATATATATAACACGCGGACTTTGAACATATAATCAACGACCTCACCAGCAAGGAATCGAACCCTCGACCTACTGGGTGGGACTAGGGAACGCTTACCGGCTAGGCCACAAGGACACTAAAAGCAGTTCTAGACTCTGTTATATTTCACACAAAGCCTGTTCATCGAGCTGATGGCGCCGTGAACCTCATTGGGAAACTGCCCGTGCCTCGTATGTGGTGTCAGTAGCATTTTACCGAATCCAGCTGGTATGAAACGCGAGGTACATATATATACTTCATTTTTAGTCCATATAACACGCGGACTTTGAACATATAATCAACGACCTCACCAGCAAGGAATCGAACCCTCGACCTACTGGGTGGGACTAGGGAACGCTTACCGGCTACCGTGTCCTTGTTAGCCGGTAAGCGTTCCCTAGTCCCACCCAGTAGGTCGAGGGTTCGATTCCTTGCTGGTGAGGTCGTTGTATATATATATATATATATATATATATATATATATATATATATATATATATATATATATATATATATATATATATATTTGTAATACACCAATATAATCTGTTCTTGTTTGTTAAATACGTGCAGTGAAAAAAGAGATTTTATATTCATTATTTAAATTAATATCTGCTAACAGTCGGTCAGTTGTTCACACTTACACTAGTTTTACACCTGTCACTCTCTCTCTCTACTCACTCACACACACACAAGAGAGAAATAAACAGAGTGAATGAGAGAAAGTGAGAGGTTGTAAATCTAGTGTAAGTGTGAACACTTGACCGACTGTTAGAAGATATTTGTTTTCTATTGGAAATTAATTTTAATAATGTATATAATCTCTTTTTCCATTACACGTATTTAACAAACAAAAACAGATTATATTACTTAGTAGCTAAGCAAAAATACTAATATCTAAAATTTTCTTGTGTTTCATAATTTTGGTATGAAAATTTTATAGTGCTTTTAGTAACAGCATCATTATTTCACACCTCCAACTTATATTAATATTGATACTAAACACTAAGCTCTATACATAATACTTATAGTATCCATTACATGCAGAGGGAGAAAGAGCCCAGCAATATTGAGGATGTATCCTTTCGTGAGCCAATCAGAGATCTTTTTGAGAGTTAGTAAGAGACCCCCTTGAGGGTCGTGTCATCTATCACACACTGTACAAGATATCTTTTTTTAATATGCCGCCCTTTATACTTGGAGAATAAAGCTCATACAATGAAATGTGTCATATAATTTTTCAGATATACAGGAAAAATCGGAACAAATTATGGGAGAAAAAACAAAAATAGAAAAAATTAATTATCATAAAGATTTAATTGAAGATAATGTAGAAATCATCATCCAAATTATTAAAGTAACCCATAGGTAGTGTAAAGTGTAATAGTGTAAAGACAAGCTCAGAACTTCTTTGTTTCAGTAAGATGTATTAATGGTGGCTAAGCTAATCCGCTAAAACTCCAATGGGAAATGTTTCCACGCACGCATAAAAAAGTATCAAAATAATGTCATGTATTTAGGATTATGCTATGAGTGAAACATATTAACAACTTGAATTCAAAATGCTCACAATTCTCTGACTCAAACCTCTTTTCTTAAATTGTAAAATATATTTAATTTCTCTAAGAAAGTCACATTATAAAAAAAATAGTGATTAATTTTGCCTCAAGATTGTCATAAACTAACATTAGTTGTAATATCTTAATATGATTCGGACAAGGGTTCAGCATCATGAAACTCAGTATGGAGATTTATTAATTTAAACCATTTCTTTTATATCTTGAATAAAGCTCTTATAATACTTAATTATTAATATTATAGACTGATGCTCATACCAATCTAAAAAATACGACAGTAATAATACGTACAATATATAATGTACGACATTTTTCCTGAATTATCCAACTGCTTATGTTAATTTCTACTGTGCAACATTGAATAGAAAGTAGTAACCAATCAGAACTGGCTATCAGTGTTACATTTTCTGACGTTGACAAATAGGGTGTCTCGCAGCTTATCAAGCTCAATGAAACCCCTCGACACCGTGCTCATGATTCAGTTGTCCCAGGCACCTCGCACTGTCAAGAGCACTGGGAAGGGCATTCCAACAACTACCTTTATTGTAAGTAGAAACTGTACTCACCCCTGAAGATGTTAACTATAGTATTATTTGGTATATATGTGAACCCCAGACTTTATCCGAGTGTATACAGTGTATATACGTAGTCACGTGCCGGCAAACGCAATATATTATATGTTGAAAAGTTGAAAAGTTTAGTGCTGGAGTGGTGATATCGCAGCAAATGGCGTCGGTCCCGTAATGGGCAAAAACCTTGAACACGATAAGGTACAAGAAACAACAACCAGAAGAACATTATTAGTTTAAATCATTAATAGTTTCTAACCATTCCCTCGCGTAGATCCTTAATAAAAGTAATGCAAGGAGTCAAAAAATTATTATTATTATTATTATTATTATTATTATTATTATTATTATTATTATTATTATTATAAAACTACCTGAGTTTTACTTTTTCTTTCACATTAGGTGTTCTTGAGTTTCAATTAAATCTATACAGTACTTTTAATAGGAGCTATCGAAAAGGAAAAAAAATCTGTGGCGCTAGTGATGGGAGCAGACTTTCTGCCTCATTTACACCCAAATGCAGGGTCTCAATTGTTTCTCTCACTTAGACAACACAACATACATATAGTATATCGTTTCTCACTCTTGATCTTTATTATTATTATAATTTTATTTTATTTTTAATTTTGTATTTTTTTTATAAAATTTCTATTGATTTTTTTAAATATTATTATTATTATTATTATTATTATTATTATTATTATGATTATGATTATGATTATTATTATTATTATTATTATTATTATTATTATTATTATTATTATTATTATTATTATTATTATTATTATTTTTATTATTATTATTATTATTATTATTATTATTATTATTATTATTATTATTATTATTATTTTTTTTTATTATTATTATTATTATTATTATTATTATTATTATTATTATTATTATTATTATTATTATTATTATTATTATTATTATCATTATTATTATTATTATTATATTTCCGCCCCAGGCCTGATGTGGGTCAGTGACCTGTGCCGGTGGACTAACCCCTGTAAAAAAAAAAAACGAAAAAAAAAGACAATACCAGTGAGACGAAAAAGGACGAGTACTCTTCGGCCCCGACCACATCAACATTGCCTTAGAAAATAGATACGATATTGACAGTGGTGAAATAATAATAATTAAAAAAAAATACTACGATATATTTTAATAGTAATTTTTAACACAGCTGTAAGCTACATACTGTACTTTAGTTTATGGATTATTATTTTTTTTATAAAATAATACGTGTGCTGCAATTTCATGAGCACTTTTTTTTTATTAAAATGACTACCTACTTCTCTTTTTATCTAAGACAAATGTAACGTTTCCCATTCTTATGGCCTCGAAAAAATCCCCCACTATATTCATCTTGATTATCATTACATTCATCTATACTAAAAGGATAATGATTGAAAACTGTTCGGTTAAAATTAAATACAGTTAATTTCCGACAGAATTATGGAGCCCCTACGACCATCCCGGCCAACTGATTTGACTGAGCGAGCGAGGTTCGTGTGGATGTGGGTTGGTGGGATGTCAGCACGAGCTATAGCTCAGGAAACTGGCGCGAGCGTGACAACCGTTTGCAGGTGGATTAGACGCTGGCAGAGTGAGGGCAACGTAAACACAAGGCCTCGTAGCGGTAGACCCTGCAAGGACAGGGCGCGACGGAAGCTTAAGGAAAGCTACGAGTACATTCGGGATGTTATGAAACATGCTCCAACGACACCTGTAAACTTTTTGGGAGCTATACCATTCTTCTCGGACGACAACACAGTCCCGCACTATTATCACGGAAATGAAGGACTATACTTCCAATCTCATTACGCTGGTGATTTAAAGAAACTACAAACGAGTTATAACTTTATATATATGCAAAATTATCAGCCACTTCAACTCTAACAACAAGAACTACCATGAAATATCCTAAAATTGCAATACAATTGTTGCCAAGATGTCCTAAATTACGTTCTCAGGTCGATCTTTATGATAGCAACATCTTTTCACCCCCAAAAATTATGTAACGAAAGCACATATCAGGAAGAATATTCTTCCTTTAGTTTTAATGAATATTGTCTAGCCATGGACAGATAAAAGTTGCTAAAGCACAGAAATACCTAACGACAAAAGATCAGTCTTTAATTATGCTAGATCAAACTTACTACTTATTCTTTAAGTGAATCTCTGAGCCTTAGAGTTAATAGAACAATGAAAAAAATTATGAATTATAGTAAATGATTCAGGGGGAGTTGGTCAGCAGGATCTGGGGAATGATGATCATAGTGGTATACATCCTTTGAGTTGAAAATTCTATGATAACATTGCACCCTACCAAAAAATAAACTTTCTGAAAAAATGGTCAACATAAGACATCCTATTTCAACACTATCGCATCTTTTCAGTAGTCATACCGAAACAATGAAATATATCACACCTATACCTAAGTTCAGTAGCTTTTCAGCAAACAAACATTTTTACATACATCTAAGAAGACAACTGTGTCATTTCAGATATTATTTTGCCTTATAATTTATTTAGGAAAACTTAATCAATCTTACGGAATACATATGGTCACTTATGTTTATAAGAAATTAAATATATATATATATATATATATATATATATATATATATATATATATATATATATATATATATATATATATATATATATATATATATATATATATATATATATTGTTTATGTATTGTATATGTAAGCTCTGCACATGTTTTCATATATATAATGGGCTCTTTAAGTAAATTTATGAACTTTTATGATTCATTCAGCCATACATACTCAAGATCTTTATAAAAAAGATCTTCATATATGTACAATTCTACTTTTATCTTATCATATTGCTGAAACCTGTATGTGTGTATGTAATATATCTCTTTATAAATAATGATTTTTTATCAAACAAAATGAATTTGAACATGTGAATACTATTTCTTAATAACATGTCATTTAAGAATAATCACAAGGCAGACGGAGGAAATTTAAGATTCAAAACTAATTATATCTGCAAAAAAAAGAAGACAATGGCGATAATTGACGAATTTGTGAAATTTGGAAAAGAATATTCTTTATAATGTTCAAGTCTTCTCGACACAACCAATTCACAATTAACACACACACACACAGCACACACATACACACACACACATATATATATATATATATATATATATATATATATATATATATATATATATATATATATATATATATTAGCAGAATCGCCGCCCTCCGAGCGGCTCATCCGCTAGGCAACGGTAGGACGCCACCCAGGGCAGG